GTGTGTGTGTGTGTGTGTGTGTGTGTGTGTGTGTGTGTAGGGACCCTAACAAGATTAAGACAAGTGTATTACTGAAATAACTTGTCTACAATCATCCATACATTTTGTTTGGAATAGACCCATGTATATATATGAAGCAGACCCTCACTAGTAATACTTTGTTACTTGGCTTCAGAGCAAAAATGCCAAAAACAACCTAAGCGTCCAACAACAGATGACTGGATAAACAAACTACAATTCATACAAATAACGCTAAATGGAATTCTACACGACATTAGAGAAGAATGATGAATCCACAAAACCTAATGTGAATGAATGTGGAAGACATTATGCTGAATGAAGTAAGTCAGTCCCTAAAGATACATGTTGGATGAGATCACTTGAAAAAAAAAAAGTCAAGAAAAACATTCTTTTGGGTTACCAGGGATGGGAAGAGGAAGGAGGGAGGTAAAATCACTAATGAGAGAGAGGATCCATATTAACTTTGGTAAAGGGTAAAGCAATGTCCAGGAAGCGGGAGATCAGTGCAACACAACAAAGGAGAAACTGGGAGGTCCACAGGGGGAAAAGGCCACACAGGTAAATATGAGTCCACACACAAGCCTGCGATGGCAAACATAACAAACAGCAATCTACATATGATTACACCCACAGAAAAAAATCTGAACCTGAACGGATTTGAACCTAACAAATTAGTTTTAATCTAATTTATTAAGCATAATTAGCATAGCAGCTTTATATGTAATAGCTGAAAAATTGAAACAATTTACAGTTGGAGAATAGTTAAGCAAACTGAGATACAACCAAAGACTATTATTTAGCAACAGAAAGAGTGAACTAGCAATATATACATCACCCCGATGGAGTCTCTAGTACATTCTGCTGCGTGAATAGGTTAGATACGGTATGATTCCATTTGTTGAACACTCTCAAAATGTCAATATGACAGGAGTACAGGCATGGGGAACACATTAGGGGTTGTCAGGTATTAGGGAGCATGTAGGGGGAGAGGGAGTCTAAAGATATCACAAGGAGGGTCTCTGTAGGGATGGGCTAATTCTGTATCTTGATTGAGTTTTAGTGATTCATATGTACACATGGTAAAATGATATGGAACTGTACTGTACACACACCTGGAACCAAACTTCAATTCGTGCATTTCATATCATACAAGGGGGCACCCCCCCAAAAAAAAACAGAAAAAAGCTCTGCTGGGCGGAGCTTTCACAGTACACACTTTTTCTGCTAGGGGAGCATAGAGCAACTAGCTCTGAGTTAGTGCACCTGGTGGTGTCACCTGGGAAGGTTCTCGCTGGTCACCGTGAATTTTTTCGCAAAAGCAGTTTCGCTTGAACCTTGTTTTTTGTGATGGTCAATCTAAGAGAACAGTGTGCAGCTGTGAAATTTTGTTTCCCTCAGGAAAAATGCCACAGAAACTGTTGTGATGTTGAACATAGCTTACAATGACAGCACAATGGGAAAACTCACGTGTATGAGTGGTTTTCTCATTTCAAAAACGGTGAAATTGCTAACAAACCGAGTTCTGGAGATCCGTCAACTTCCCGAATGGATGAAAGTGTTGACCAAATTTGTGCACTTGTGCTCAAAGACCGGTGACAGATCATTGAAGAGATTGGGGAAGTTATCCGAACTAACTTGGAGATCAGGTCAGCGACTTTTAGTGGAAGATCTGAGAGTGAGGAGGGTCACTGTGAAACAGTGTGCCCTCCCAAAATGCCTGACAAGTGGCAAATGGGGGACTGGTTTTGTCACCGTGACAATGCACCTGCTCACACGGCCATATCAATTTTGGACAAAAACCAGCATGCCTCTCTTGCCCCATGCACCTTACTTGCCTGACTTCACTTCATGTGACTTCCTTTTGTTTCCGAGAATGCAGAGGGACATGAAAGGACAGTGATTTGAGAACACAGAAGAGGTGAAGGAAAATAACATAGGAGGTGCTGTCAGCCATCCAAACCGATGAGTTTGAAAAATGTTTCCAATAATGGAATCATACATTTGACAAATGTATTAAATGTAATGAAGAGTACTTTGAAGGTGATAAGGTTGTTTTGCAAAAAAAAATTTTTTTTAATACATATCTTTTGGGAAAAAACCTGGTTTTTGTGGTGTACCTCCTCATGTACTATAGTTTCAATTGTATGTAAGACATAATCATTGGGGGATATTGAGTGAGTCACAAGACCTCATTTTGCAACTACCTTTAAATTTATAATTAATTCAAAATAAAAAGGTTATATTAAAAAAAGAGAACTAGACCAGATGCAAGCTCCTGTACTATCTTTGGCAAATCATCTGTTTCTTTATCTGTAATTGGACTAATAAGCTGACAATATATGCAAAAAGACTTTGTTGTTGTTTAGTGCCATGCCGTCAGATTCGATTTATACAGACCTATGTACAACAGAAAGAAATGCCTGTTCTCAAGCCATCCTCTAAGTCTTTCCTAAGTTTGAGCTTGTGAATGGACTATACCAATACCAATTGCTGGAATTGCTGTACATTGTCAGGCTAAGATGCTCAAGGTGAATGGAAGTAAAATAAATTGACTTGTTCCGCCAAAATATTGTGGATCTTCACCGCAGAAGGCATCCTAGCAGCCAACGAATCTATGGAGAAAGTCTCCTGATCATTTGCCATAGAGACATGAACATCCAACCAATGATGAGCCATCACCCCAGCAATAATAGCAAAGTTCAACAAGGGGAAACAACAAATATCGATCAATGACTATGGTGGATCATACAGGAGGCAAAGTTAAGGCATAACTTTGACATAACCAAACCCTTAGGGGAATCACTCACTGGCCATGGGGATCAGGACCATCGTCACAGGGGACCCTAGATCTATTGGCCTAACACGGCTCGGGCAAAGACAGTGTCCTCACCTTACCCGGGCAGGCGAGGAGCAACTGGGCCTTAAAAGCTCATCATCAGCCATCTAAGGTGCAACCATTGGCCTCTCCCCGTCCAAATGAAAGAAGAGTTATGAAAATCAGAAGAATATGGCAACAGTCCAGTGGATGAATGGACTGCTTAAACAGTCTAAGACCAGAAGAACGACATGGTCCCTGCTCTCCATGCCACGGTGCTGAAAAGGACCCCATCAGAGGGTCCTGGATAGAATGGGGCAATAATGTGGAACAAAACTCAACATCATAGAAGTGCAGGTTCACAGGTGTGGAACTTAAAATATCTTTTAATATAGAAATTTCATATTTTAATATTGAAATGCCAGTAATTATACCACTAAATGCATATCTTAAGGAAATAATACCTGGGGCATGGATATATGTACACTCATGTCCATTGCAGCATTATTCACAAGAGTGTAAAGATGGAAACAACCCAAGTGTTCATCAACAGATGAATGGATACAGTCCATCCACACAATGGAATGCGATGCAGTATTGAAGAATAATGAACACCTCAGAATGTGGCTGAAACCGGAGGGCCTTAGGCTGAGTGAAAGAAATCAATTACAAAAGGACAAATATTGTCTGACTTCACTATAATAGAAAGTCAAGGAAAAGTTCCTAAATAAAAAAAAAATGTGGTGGTGGTGGTTACCATGATGACAGGGAAGAGGAGGGGATAATCACTAACTAAATAATCCCACTGCACCAAGTTGATTTCCACCCACAGTGACGTTTGGAGTCGCTGGTAGGTTTGACCTTGTGTCCAGCAACCCAATGCTTCACTCACAATGCCAGCAGTGCTCCTGAACTAAAGAAGACCCGCTGCCATCGGGGCAACTCATAGCACCCCCTATGGGTCAGGGTGGAAACTGGCCCTGTGAGTGTCCAAGATGATAACTCTTGATGGGGAGAGAGTGCCCCATCTTTCTCCCTCAGAGCGGCTGATGGTTTAGAATTGCTGATCTTTCTGATCACAGCCCAACACATAACCACTACACCACCAGAGCTGTTTTGACTAAATAATAGACACTAGTTACTTAAAGGAAGTGTCTAAATAATAGACAATTAATTCGTATGTTAAATCTATAACCCACAGAAAGGAGGTAATCAGCACCATTCCAGGGAAGGGAAGGGAGACCCAGAGAGGTGCACAAGAGTTCCAGGCAACAAAGGTAAGTGTTATTACATTTGTGGTTGTTGTTGTTGTTGTTGTTAGGTGCCATCGAATTGCTTCCAACCCACAGTGACCTTGTGCACAGCGGAGCAGAATACTACCCGTCCCACCCGGTCCGTCGCCATCACACAATTGTTCCTATGCTTGAGACTACTGCTGCATATTCTATTACATCTACCACCCTACGTTACCAGTAATGTAAACAAACATTAAGCAGCTATGTGGGCAAACGGGCAAGATGAATAGGTAGGAGTAAACAAAAGGGACGATACACACCTGGCCATACATGGATTTGGGTTCTGAGATAGGTTCACAAACTTATTTGGCCTACAGCCCTCTTTTCAGAAAAAAATATCACCCAGTGCCCCACAGCAATGAAAAGCTTTTGTACCAAAGTCCACAGTCCAGGAACATGTTGGTCTGTCTCTGCAGGCCTCTGGGGTTATCCCAGCTCTCCAGGAGGTAATATCACCCACTTTGGGAAATACCGGATGTTTGGCAAATGCCATTTCTACCAGCATATGTGTATATGCTGTAAACACATCCATGTTTGTAATCGAGCAAATGGCCGACAAAGGTAGGTCAACATCTGAGCCCTAATCAAACATACTCTTGAGGGAATAAAACAGGAGAGAAAAGATGGGAACGTGTTGAAGAGAGCAGAAGAACTACCTTGCAAAGTAACGTCTCATCTTGCAAGGTAGTTCAATGTTGGCAAGGGTTATCCGAGGTTGGCAAGGGCTATCGAGGAGCCCCGCTGACTAAGAAAACACGGCCCTTTGCTTCACCCTTGGACCATCTCAGGACAGGCTGTGCGAGATCACGCTGCCACAGAGCGTCCATCGCAGGGAAGAAGCAGAGAGGGCCTCCTGCTTGTTCCCACTAAACCCCTGCCCCTCGGGAGTCAACGTGCATCTTGCAGATGGACATTAATTCACTGGCCCTCTGGGGATGGATGCCGGGATCTGAGATGAAGGCAAAGCTGAACAGATCTTGGGAAGTGAAGGAATTGGGCTCAGACACATGACTTTTGTCTCAACAATATAGAGTGTTGCACTCTTTGGGAGGTTGGTAGTCACCTAAGGCCTGTCTGTCTGCAAATGGGGGACGCTGGAAGTGCGGGGACACACCGAAGGAAGGCTGGCGTGAGGCCTCCGGAAACGAACCGAACAGTCAGGTAAGAGGCCCCGGCTGCCTCAGTCGGAGTGATCATTAGGGGATGGGTGTAGCACCAAGAAGAGACCCTCCTCCAGGCAACAAGTCAGCCATCCAAACCCATCCAAGAATTTTTTTTCTTTACTAAAAAGAAAAAGTCACTGCTCCTAGGGGCCAGCCAGGGCTTATAAACTTCCTCCTACCTACTCTCAGGCAGCGTTCACGCCCTCCCGCCCTCTATGACCCACCCCTACGAGCAGACATCAGCTAATGATAAGTGGGAGAGAGTAGACTAGCCCACAGTCCCCACCTCTGTTCTTCACAAACTTTCATGTGCTCATGAACGGCCCGGGGATCTTCATCAAATACACTTTCTGGCTCTGTAGATCTGAGGTGGGGTCCTTCCTGAATCCTGTGTTTCTAGCAGGTCTCCCGAGGACACCCCTGCTGCTGTTCCAGGAAACAAGCTTGGCCTTCCTGTGGGCTCGCTGTTGCTCTTGGGAAGTGTCATCGAGGGTGTTCCAACGACAGCCAGCGGGAAGAAGCCCCGCCAGGCCGGCCCCAGCGCCCAACAACAGCGATCCGTGAGCCCACTGTCGCAGCCACTGTCACTTCATCTCTTTGAGGGCCTGCCTCTTTTTGACTGACCCTCTAGTTGATCAAATAGGATGTTCATCTACAGCAGTGGTTCTCAAGCTTCCGAATGCCACGACCCTTACAGTTCCTCGTGTGGTGGAGACCCCCCCAACCCTAAAATTATTTTCATTGCTACTTCATAACTGTCATTTTGCTACTGTGGTGAATCGGGTGACCCCTGTGAAAGGGTCGTTCAACCCCCACAGCAGTTGAGACCCACAGGTTGAGAACTGCTGCTCTGCAGGGACAGGACCCTCTTGATAACCATCCGCACATCTAGGGAGCAGTCTGGCTGTACTTCTTCCGATAAAGATTTATTTGTGCTTCTGCCAGTCTATATTCTTTGCTCACAGCCTAAGTCAAAGGCACTGGTTCGTCTCTAGTCTTTCTTATGTGGCGTCCAGTTTTCACAAGCATAAGCGCTTGGACCTGACCGAGCGTGACTTATTCCTCAAGGTGGTGTCTCTGCTTGTAGACACGTGAAAGAGGCTCATTGCAGCAGGCTTTCTCGATGCAGTGTGCTGCCGGATGTCTTGATCGCTGCCTCCATGGGTGTTGATGAAGGATTGACATAAAGCAAAATGCTTGACAATTTCGAAATGTTCATCATTTACCATGACGTCACTTATTGGTCCAGTTGTGAAGGATTTGTGCTTTCTTTATGTTGAGGTGTAATCAACACTGAAGGCTGTCATCTTTGATCCGCATCACTAAGTGAGTCAAGTCGTCTTTGCTTTCAGCATGGAAACGTGCCGTTCATGAACCCTCCACCAGTCCACATGCTGCTTTCTTCTTTACCTCATCCAGCTTCTCAGATGAGTTGCTCAGCAAACAGATTTGCAAACAGATTGAATAACTGTGGTGAAAAGATACAGTCGTGACATACATCGTTCCTGATTTTAAACCATGCAGTAGCCCCTTTGTTCTTTTTGAATGACGAGGTCTTGGCCTACATGTAGGCTCTGCATGAGCACCATGAAGGGTTCTGGAACTCCGATCTTCCCAAAGTTTTCCATATTTGTTGTCAGCACACAGTCTAAAGTCTTTGCATAATCATAAAACACGAGGACACTTGGTATCTGCTTTCAGCGGAGAGCCATCTGATGGCAGGCAAGGATTCCAGCTCGTCTTCTGAGCCCAGCTTGAATTCCTGCCAGGTCTCTGCTGCTGTCCTCCTGCAATCGTTTTTACTTGACCTTCAGCAAATTTCCCTTTAGTTCAATAGTCATAGTATCACTGGATAATTTCCACATTCCGTTGGTACTTCTGGTATGTGGAATGGACACCTACATGGATCTCATCCAGTCAGCTGGCCAGGTAGCTGGTTCCCAAATGTCCTGCCACAGGCTAGTGAGCACTCCCAGCATTGCATTCATTTGTTGAAACATCTCAGTGTTTTTCCTTGAACCTCTTGGGCTCTGGTTTTCAACAGTGCCTCAGTGCTGTTTGAGTGTCTTCCTTCAGTACATCAGTTCTTGATCAAGTGCTACCTTTGAAACCGTTGAACTTTAGCACTTGGGATGCAATGGCTCTATGTATTTCTTCCATTTTCTTCTGATGCTTCCTGTAGGTTCAATAGCTTCTTGCCCGTAGAATCCTTCAGTATTACCATTGGAGGCTTGAATGTCTTCTTCAGGCCTTTCAGCTTGAGGAGTGCCACACAGGCCCTCCTTTGGTTTTCTAACTTTAGGTCTTTGCATATTTCATTAGAATGCTTTCCTCTGTCTTCCTGAGCAGCCCTTTGAAACGGGTTCATGTCCTTCATCATTTCTTCTGTTTGCTTTAGCTAGTCCATATTTAATAGCAAGCTTCAGAATCTCGTGTGACACCCAGCTTAGTCTTTGTTTCTTTTTAATTAACTTTCTGCTTTCTTTACGAATGATGACTTTGAAGCCATCGCACAATACCTCTGGTCTTTAGTCATTAGTGTTTAAAACACCAAATCTATTCTTGAGATGCTCTCTAATGTCACATGGGATATATTCAAGGTTGTATTCTGGCCCACAAGAACTTGTTGTCATGTTTTCACCTTAAATGCACGCTTGCTTACAGAGAGTCTTGCATAGTAAGCCCTTGACCTTGTTAAGACTGATGAGATTAAGCTTCTCCATTTTTTCCCATGTGCATAGTTGATTCCTGTGTGTTCCATGCAGCTTCATCCACATGTAAAGCCTCATTTATACTGAAAAAAGATATTTGCATTCAAGAAATCATTGGTCTTGCAAAATTCTACCAATCTCCCATATTGTTTATATCAATAAAGCCATGTTTGCCAAGTATTGATACTTCCAACTTTCAAACTCCAATCACCAGTAATTGCTAATGAATCTTGATTGCATGTTTCATCCATTTCACACTGCAGAAGTAGATAAAAATCTTCAGTTACTTCATCCTTGGCAATAGTGGCTTGTGTGTAAATTTGATTAATAGTTGCATCTATTGGTTTTCCTTATAAGCATATAGACATTAACCTATCACTGATAATATTGTACTTCAGGATAAATCTTGAAATGTTCTTTTTGAAGGTGAACGTGACACCATTATTCTTTAATTTGTCACTCCTAAAATAATAAGCAATATGACTGTTCAATCAAAATGGCCAATACCCATCTATTGCAGTTCACAAAGGCTTAGGACACCCATCTTCATATGTCCAATTTCGTTTTTGGCGACTAACAGTTTTCCTAGATTCATACTTTGCACTTGGGATATTCCAATTATTAATAAACATTTTCAACTGTTTCTTCTCATTTGTCGTAGTGCCACCTCAGCAAATGAAGGTCTCAAAAGCTGTATTCCGTCAGCGTCATCAGAGTTGATTCGACTCTGAGGAGGGAGCTCTTACCCACTCGTAGTTTGAGTGCCTTCCGACCTGAGGGGCTCATCTTCTGGACCAGCTCAGCCAATGCGATTCATAAGGCAGTCACTGCCTTTTCTTTTTTTTTAATAAGTAGACCACCAAGTTCTTCCTCCTCGTTTGGAAGCTCCGCTGAAACCTGTCCACTATGGTGACCCTGCAGGGACTTGAAATGCCAGTGATAGCAGCTTCCAGCATCACAGCAACGGGCAAGCCAGCACCGTACAATACACGGGCAGACAAATGGTGAATGAATAAACTGCTCAGTCTCCAATTCTCGTCAGAGGATCTGCTTCTGGGGGAAGCAGCATGTTTGCAATTGTTTTTTCAGTTAAGTGTTTTGTTTTCTATCTTCCTTGTATGCCTTTGCTTCTTGATCTCAGTCTTCTCAAAGGCCAGCCATGACCTATCATTGTGCCCCAGACTAACAGTGTATTTCCTCATCTGCAAACTGAGGGGGTTAGATTGTCTGGGTTCCTTTTGTTCTCGCGGGCTGAAGATGATGCCAGTACCCTAGAGACTGTGGGACTTTCCGCCCTCTTCTGTCAGCCTACCTGACCGTGTACATGACCTTTCCACACCCAGTTGGCTTCACATTCTGCGCATCTTCAAAAGACGTCTCTAAGCAGAAATAGAAAACGGAGCCTTTTTCTTCCCACACAATAGCGAAGACCCTTGACACGCGAGGTAAATGCAGGTGACATACCCATTATGAAAACACGCGAGGTAAATGCAGGTGACATACCCATTATGAAAACACGCGAGGTAAATGCAGGTGACATACCCATTATGAAAGAAACAGGCCATTCAGAAAACAAGAAGAATAGTAGTTCCAGGCAAGGATTATGAAAAGGAAATCCATGTAAAGCCAGCAAAGGCTATGAAACCATAGCCAAGGAAAATCAAAACAGGAGATAATCAATGTAAGA